CGTCATTTCTGATAAAAAGAAAAGAGCTTACTCCTCTAAAAGCCATGGCTGCTACAATGAACAAGCTGCAGAGGAACAGAAAAATGGAGAAAAGAAGGGACAAATTAAAGGAACGGAAATTTGGAAGAGAAATCATGGATTTTGAAAAGAAGAGAATGGCTAGTGGCTTGGTGCTGCCGTCTGCTGTATGGGGCAAGCAAAGAGGCCGGTTGTCCCAATTTTGTTTTCTGACAGTGGGCGGGATTATGATTTCAGGGCCATTAAGGCAACTGCTTGATTATCAATTTGGTCCCTAACTTTACATTGAGATCTCAATCAGGTCCTAAAAACATTTTTAGCATTCTAAAATAAAACACGAGTCCTAAAATCATTCTCATTCAGTTTAAGGGAAAAAATTATGTCCACATGGCTAATTTGGCCTAAATTCGGACTCCAAATTAAAGGTGGATTAAAAATCATTTTAAGCATGGTAACTTTTAAAAATATAATTGATCAGAAAATAAATTTAGGGTCTTAATTAAAAAAAGTGGAAAAGTTGAGAGGCTATCTTTATGATTTTCCGTTAATTTGATCACAATTTCACAACTGCCCAATTTCTCCCTCCTTGTAGCGCTTCACCACAGAAGAGCTTATGTGAGACAAGGATAGGGGTGGCAAAAACCCCCCCACCCAGCCATTAACTCAACTTTAACTCAACCCCTGAAAATGGTTTAGGATCTATATATTTTAATCCATAACTTATAAATAACTTGTGATATCAACTTGGGGGTTATAGGTTGAGTTAGAGTTAACTCGTGTGTTAATGGGTTGTTTCATTTGTTTTATTTTTTTTAAAATATTATATTTATTATTCTTAATTGATTTTTTTATTGATAACTCCTTCCATTAATTCATACTCTTCAAACTCCTTTCCATTACTCAAATGATTTTAAGTTTATTTTGAGTGTTTATTCATCATTATTTCTTCTTCTTTCTCTAAAAGTTATATGAATTTGATTTAATTACCAAGTATCATTATTTAAATGATAATACAACTAAAAATATTAAAGATATGATGTGAAAGATGTTCTTGGAAAAGCAATTTCCTCATAAAAAAAAAAAAACTTAAATTCTCTAATAATGTTTCAAGAAAACTATAAAATTAAAACTTTATTTTAAAAAAAATTAAATATTTTAAGTTTAATATTGTTAATTAACTTACTGTTATTTATAATTTTATAATTTTTTTCTTAATTTAAATATTTGTAGTGGAGACTATAAAGCATGTAATGTTAATGAATTATAATATTTTAATTAGATTTAGATACATATAATTTTATTTGTATATAATAAAATTAATAAAAATAATCATAAAGAATGAAAATATGGTGAACTTACGAATTAACCCATAATTCATTAATGTCAAGTGAGGGTTGAATTTTTTCAACCCGTAATTTGTTTACAACTGACGTATAACTCATCACTCAAATTGACTCAACTCAAACCCAACTGACTCGTTTGTTAGGCCCAGCGAAGGAGGTTCTGATTTTGTAGGCAAGGGATTTCTAGGGATGGCAATGAGTCCCCACGGGGGTGGGGACCCCCTCCCCATCCCCATCCCCTTCAATGGCGGGTACGGGGATCCCCGTGGAGAATTTTGGCGGAGGGTCAAAAATTACCTTCGTCCCCATCCCCGCGAGGAATAATAGGTCCCCGTGGGTATTCGGAGTCCTCGCCAAATAAAACTATCACTTATTTCACTGCTTGTTAATCAAAATTCCAAAAGAAAATAACAATTTTACAAAATCCTAGATAACAAACAAAGATGATCAAGATCACTCTTTTAAAACAAGATAAATAAGTAGTAAATATACACAATAACACAGCCAATATATACATGTCATTGTCAAGCAAGTCCAGCAAGTAAGCTAGCAACAAGTTCATATTTCATAAAGAAAAAATGCATAAACTGCCATATAAATCCAGCAAATCCAACAAAAGGTTTATAAATAATAAAAGCATAAATTACAACTGTCATATATGTCTAAATTCAGCAAAGTTGATAGAAAAAAACAAAGAAGCATAAGCTACTGCCAACATGTCCAGCAATAA